CCCACGCCGAGGAGGCGCGCCGCAGCCAACACCACCGCAGCCGCCCTCACGGCTTTCCACAGGGCGGACCGGGCGCCCTACGCAGCTGACCGTTTGAGGGCGGCCCGGACCGCGCAGCGCGCGGCCCGACTCCAACACGAGGAGGAGGCCCGCGGCCGCTTCTTCGCCACCATTGAGGACACCAGGCCGGTGGCGAGGATGCACGTCCTGTTCCGCCACCTGCGCGTGGCGAAGCGCCAGCCGCAGGCCGCCCGGGCAGATGGGCCCACACTCCGTGACTGGCAGCAGGCGGCGGACGGCCTCGAGGTGGGCGAGCCGGTGCCGATCCTGGCGAAGCAGGTGGACCCTGCGGCGCCAGCTCCAACAGCCGCGCAACTTCGGGCCTACTCGAAGTCTCTCTCGACCAACACGGCGGCAGGGCCCGACGGCCTTCCTGGAGAGCTGTTCCGCCACGCACCTCCCGTTTCTTCGAGCTCCTGGAGGCGGTGGTTGGACCGGCCTGGGACTCAGGGACCTTCCCGGTCAATGGGTGACTTCGGTGCAGCAGCCCATCCCCAAGGTGGCGCGCCCGCGCGGACTGTCGGCGACTACCGGATGCTCACCCTGGGGAACGTGCTTTACAAACTACTTGCTAAACACCTGCACGCCCTCCTTACAGCTGCCCTGCCTGCTCTCCCTCTCTACCAGGCTGGTTTCCAGGCTCAACGAGGCACATACGACCACATCATGCTCCTGCGGAGGGTTCTCGACGAGCGTTGGAGGGCAGGGGATGGGGTGCACATCCTCGCCCTGGACATCCGCTCCGCCTTCCCCTCCACCAAGCGCCGGGAGCTCGCGGCGGTGCTGCTCGCCGAGGGCCTCAGCCCCTTCCTACTGAACCGTGTGACGTCACTGGCCCTGACCGACCACACGTCTATCAGGTGGTTCGCGGCCCGCACCGGGGTCGTCAGGACGGCGTTGGGGGTGAAGCAGGGATGTACGGTGGCACCGCTGCTTTTCACCCGCGCCCTTCACTGGGTGGTCAGGGTGGCCGTCCAGGACCTGGTCCGCTTTCACCTGGACCTCGCGGCGCCCGGATTCACGCCTCTACTCATAGCCTACGCGGACGACCTGCTGGTGGCGGCGATCGATCTGCAGGACCTCCACGACTTCTTGGCCAGGTTTGCGGAGGCGGCCCGGCTGATGGGCCTGGAGTTGAATTTAGCGAAATGTGAATACCTTGTCCGCACCCCTTACCCCGAGCCAGGCCTGCGGCTGCCCCGGCCCTTCCACATCGCCGGGTATGAGATCCAGCAGGTCGACAAGTTGCTCTACCTCGGAGCCCTGATCACCGCCGGCCTTGACAGACGCGGCACGGCGTACCAGCGCATCGTGAAGGCCAGGCGTGCAGTCGCCGCTTTGCAGCCCTTGCTCCAACGACACCCCCTGCCGCCAAAGGTGGTCGCCAGGATCTGGTGAACGGCCATACTCCCATCAATCAGCTATGCCCACGCCACGGTGGCGACCACCAAGGCCACCAGGACGACGCTCCGCCGACAGGCCGCGGTCATAGTGGCGGGACTCATGGCGCTCGCCAGACGCGACCCCAGGCGCCGGGCTCGACTTCGGGGCGTCGACAGGACACGAGGATCCATCACTAGGGCGATCAGGGGCTGCCGGGTGCGCTACTGGGCGCACATACCAGGTGGCTGATTAACCCCGCGCACTTCTGTAGTTAGACTGTACCGCACGCAG